AAGTACTATTATTATAACACTGGTACAATCATAGTACTAGTAAAGTAGTAGTATTATAACACTGGTACGATCATAGTACTAGTACTAGTACTAATGAGTTTACTCTTTGTTGCATGTGCGCTGAGGGTGACGAGCGCCCAGAGCGTCATGAAAACAGCAGCGAAGGTGTCGGAGTTATTTATTTATCGTCTCAGCAGCTGAGGGGAGTGACACGGTTCAAGCACGGCTCCCAAACAAAAAGGCAGCCATATTTGTTCATAACTTTATTATTAGTAAATGAGTTCCTGGATCCAAGTTAACAGTTGCTGGAACACACCCTGTCAGAACAAGAGCGTTCCTGGATCTTGCTCCGGCAGGATCCGGACCTAATTAAGCCCTGCATGCAGATGTGCTCACTACGCGAGCCCTACACATCTGCACTTTGGTGTGCTGCGTGAATTTGTAACTTGACCACACCCTTCTGATTAACGTTGTAAATGTAGTAGCAGTTTGTCCAGTAAATGAGCTCTTTCTCCAGAGACAATCAGAAATGACTAAGTAGATGAATTTGTGGACAGTCTCAAGTTTGTGAGGTAATAATAGGTTATGATATATTCAATGATAATATGAGGTGGAGTACATTAATAACAGTGGTCTTTTGGCTGCAGATGGTTAGGCCAAAGTCCCTGCATGCCCTGGAGCAACAGCCCATCGGTTGTTTGAAACCTCCTTTAGTTGTAGGTGGAGAGTGCAACGGCAAAGACAAGTCTCTTCGAGTGACCATTCGCGACTTTGTCTTTAGCCTGGACAAGACAAAGTGTTCCCCATCAGCTCTGGTGTGGAGGTGGAGAAGTATTTCCTAACGAAACGCAGCCGGAAGTCAGTGTCAGAAAAGAGTTTAAACGTTTTGAGTCCAGCTCTGTCTCATATGTATTTGTGACTGCTACGAGTTTTGAGTTACAATAGTAATCCAGAAAACATTTAAGTCTATGCCAAAATAAAATCAGCACGTGAGGAAAAGTACTGTGTTACGTTCCAACCCTGACAATCGGTGCAGTCCTACCTGGGCCAGCTGAGCTCTTAGATCTGCCTCTCTGTGCCGACAGTCCTCTTGCAGGGTCTGAAAGTCTTTTCTGGAACGTTCCACACTGTGCTCCAGCGCTGCCAGAACACAACCACACAAAATAACTTCCTACAGACAACAAATTTAGCCATGGTCTCACAGTCAGTATGTGTTGTCTTTACCTTGCATGGTCTTCGTTGTCCTGCTGTTCTCCTCCTCAGAAATCTCAAGCTTTTGTCTCTGAAATGAAGAAACATCGATGTAAATTCAAGCTAATCACTTTTACCCAGCAGCATTCCTGTACCTTGAGCTAACCAGGGAATAATGACAGGCCCCAGAAAACATGCACGGTGCCCACAAGCAACAACACCTAATGAATCTGAGTAGATCTACAGATGGAAACAGATTCAGTAACAACCTTGTATCATGGAGTAATTAGAGTGAAAAGGACTGAGCATCAGGCTTATTAATGTCCTGCTGAAAGTTGGAGCCTGAGACCACCCCCCATATTTGTCCCGTTGCAGAGCGAAGAAGGGGAATTCAAAATACCCTCCACCCGTGCACGTTGTGAGGGTAACTTGAAAAATAAATGAGAAATTCTTGGCACAAAGTCGAGTGCGTTCCCAGTGTGGGTTGGACTCTGCCAGGGTTCTCCGTTGTCTCCCATCTTGTTTGTGGTCTTCATGGACAGGATCTTGAGAAGTGGAGAGGAGGGGATCTGGTTTGGGAACCTCAGGGTCTCATCTCTGCTTCATGCAGATGACGTAGTTCTGTTGGCATCTTCAGGCCAAGATCTTCAGTGTGCACTGGGGCTGTTTGCAGCTGAGAGTGGATGGTTAACTCCATAAAGTCTGAGGCCATGGTTCTCAACAGGACACGGGTGGAATGCCCCCACTGGGTCAGGGGAGTGTTTGCCTCAGGTGGAGTCATTCAAGTATCTAGGCGTCTTGTTCACAAGTGATGGTACGATGGAGCGGGGGATGGATCGACGGATTGGGGCCTCGTTTACAAGAGAGACCTGATTTATTTAACAAAGAATGATGACAACAGTGGACAATCATAGAAGAAAGCAAACAAATTGAGAACAACAAATAAAAAAAATGGTATTCAAAAACAAAAACAGCTGGATTCTAAGGCAAATGTAGAAACTAAAAACAGGAACATGTCTGCATTGGTCCCTGTCAGGAGTCCAACAGATTCTTAAAGTCACTTAGAGAGGTCAAAGGTCGAGAGCTTCAGCTCTTTTTACAAGATATTCCAGGAAACAGGAGCGGAGGAGGAGAAGGTCCTTTTGTCTAGTTCAGTCCTCACTGAGGGAACACTGCAGGTAATGATGTCCTGAGAGCGCACGCTGTAGCTGCACTCACACAGAGACATGTAGGAGGAGATGTATGAAGGCAGCAGACCAAGAAGTGATTTAAAGATGAAGATGTACCAGTGGGAGAGTCTGTGTGAAGTTAATGGTGACCAGTTAACCAGTGAATACTGGGTGCAGTGGTGGGTACGGTAGTTACAGCCAGTTATGAATCTTAGTGCACCATGATAGACAGCATCCAACATCTGCAGCATCCAACATCTGCAGGGTTCTTGTAGGAGCGTTCATGTAAATAATGTCACCGTAATCAATGGAGGGAAGGAAAGTCACAGATACAAGGCGTTCCTCAGGGTTCAGAGTTAGACAGGATCTGTTTCTGAAAAAGAAACCCAGTTTAACTTCCAGTTTCTTTACCAAGTTTTCCACATGGAGCTTAAAAGAGAGAGCCGAGTCAAAAGGCAAAGCTCTTGATTTCCTGGTCTGTCTACAACCCAACCCTCACCTGTGGTCATGAGGTTTGGATCATGACCGAAAGAACGAGGTCTAAGATCGTTTCCCGTTTCTTACCAGGCTGGTTAGCTGCTGCTCCAGAGAAGTCCTTTCTTGCAGTGCAGATTGAAGATCTTTCTGTTTGCTCTCCAGGTCAACACTCAGCTTACTGATCTGTGGAGACACACACAAAACAAGTCAACTGGAAATCGTCCATTATCAAAGAAGCTTCATTAAAACGCACAGAAACCAACATAGAACTAGAAAAAAGCAGTGTGGAGGCTGAACGCAGAAAAACTGCTGAAAGAGTTGAAGAACGGTTTGAACCTTTGGAGCTAAACGAGCAGAACAGAGGCTGCAAACCACAACATCTGCTAAAAGCTACAATTAGTGAAACAGTTGCTAAAAGATAAAAAATTTAAAAAGACAACTAACAAAATCACAGATTAGCAAGCTGTTGGATAGAAGCTACAGTTTAGAAACGTCTAGCTTTTGTCTTGCTAGTTACAGTTTTAACTGTTCAGCACCATCAGGAACTCCATGCTTGAATTTTTACAACTATTACACATGATTTTTAAAATAGTTAAGAGTATATAGTTAACAGGAAATAGTTTGACTTCAAAAAGCATATAAAAGAAACGATAAATAAAAAAACAATAGTGCTGATTCAGCATTTACACAAGGACAATGTGGCAGCTGCGCAGTCTCCTGCTCGGCGCACCGGTGCTGAGAAATCTTCACCGACCTTTTGCTCCTGAGCCTGAAGCTGAACCCTGAGGCTGCTGATCTGCTGCTGCGACAGGGACGCTGCATCCTCCTTCTTCTGGGACGCTTGGAGCCTGAGCTGCAGGTCTGACACCTCCCTCTCCAGCTCCATGATCCTGGAGCGCTCAGACACTGTAGCCACCTACAGCAGCAAACGTAGAGGGAAGGAGACGATCATCTGTTCCTGCTATAAGAACGAGCATCTTCCCACACCTGCTGATTTAATTCAGGTCCAATCTTTCTACCTTTAGCTTCCTGTCAGCAAGGTCTTTTCTGGAGAGTCTTTGCAGAAAGAAACCACACAGACCATGGAGCCTTACAGAGGCCTGATGCTCGGGTGGAACACCTCTGCCTGACCACTTGTACTACTAATGTCAATTTTATTTCTAGAGCAATAAAGAAAACAAAGCTGGCCATAGTTCTTTACAGTAGAGCTGTCAATTCTAACCCGAACCCAAAGCTCGGCCCGGTCCATAATAATGTGCGGGCCGGGGTCGGGCTTTTGATTTCATCAGCGGACGTGCACGGCTGACGATCCAATTATATGGCAACATGGCTTGCCATACTGTCACCA